CGACGAACCCGAACTGTATGCGGTCGTTTCAGGAGAAACCTCCGCTCTTGAATTCGAATCATAATTCATATCATCCAAAGTGAACTTGTCGTCGATACAATATCTTATCTGATTAAAATGTCTTTTCCAACTCATATTATTTTCCGAAACCTTCAAAATGCAAACATGCAAACCTGCAAATGCAAACATAGAAATTTTTCGATTTTAGCCTTACACCACCCGGGTGTTTTCCTTCGATAGTCCCTAACGTAAACAATCTGTCCTAACCTGTAGTTACATTTTCTTTTTCCTTTATTATTATTCGTATTAGTAACCTGCGATTTAACTAAATTATCTTTAACTAAGGAAACATCTTTCACATCAGCACTGCTCCTTCCCGCTGGCCTGAGCAGGTCAAAACGGGTTCGAAGCGATCGCCCCAAAAACAACTTAGCAGGTGATTCCCCCGAAGAACAATGCGGGGTGTTTCTATATTGCAATAGAAATTTACATAACGATAGATTTACGTCAACCAGCTGATTATCAGACAATTCTTTCAGTAAAAAAGCTTTAACCGTTTTTACAGATTTTTCGGCCGCTCCGTTTGAAGATGGATTATAAGGTGGTATGGTTACATGATTTATGCCATTTACTTTGGTGAATGTACTGAATTCTTCTGAAATTAGCTGAGGGCCATTATCTGAAACTAACATTGTGGGTATTGCAAAAAGCGAAAAAAGCTCGCGCAAATTTTGAATGGTCGCTTTGCTTGCGATAGACGTCATCGGAAACACTTCTAGCCATTTAGAGTAGGCGTCAGTATCAACCAAAAAGTATATATTCTTCAAAGGTCCTAGAAAATCTATATGAATTCTTTGTCAAATTGCCTCGGGTATTGGCCACGATGCCAAAGGCGTTTTTTGAGGGGTGCTGCGCGCTGACTGACATTGTTGACTTTTTTTTACGATCTCTTCAATATCTTTACTCAGAGATGACAACCATACATAAGATCGGGCAAGTGACTTCATCTTAACGATACCAAAATGTCCGCTATGCAGTTCGGCTAATTTTTTTTTCTTAGAGAAGATGGAACTAAAACACGATGCCCCAAAAAAAGTACATCTTCTTCGATGCCAATTACGTGATGTATTTTATAAAAAGGTTTCACTTCCTCGAAACCATGTTTTACGTATCATGCCACTTATAATAGTTCTGGGTCCAAAATAGTTTCTTCTCGAATCCTAGTAACATCAATGGGTAAATATTCCGCGTTTGATAAATAATTCAAGTTGATATGAGAATTTTCAAAATCTCTCATGTCTTTTTCGAATTTCTTGTGGGGTTACTTAAAACAAAAGGTGTATAAGCAAAGACCTTTTCGAGATATAAATAATTTAGAGGCAGTTATTCGAGAATGTGTTGTAAGCACGAAACCCCGTAGTATAAAGAATGCAGTTAAAGATGTTTTAAAAAGGACAATTGATTGCTTTGAACGTGGTGGACGGCACACCGAAATGTGACTTTTTATTTCAAGTAACGGCCCAATCAATCAGAAAATTATATAAAATGATTTGAATTCCCTAAAAAACTAATAACAGAAGAATTAAAAAGGAATAACTGAAGATAACAATTATATTAAGCAACAAAAAGAAAGAAACATCGTGAAGTCGTGAAGGAACTTGCTTTGGAATCTCTTAACTCTTTATTTTATCTTTACTTTTTGTTCAATTATTCTATTTCTACTTGTATTTTATTTCACTATTATTTCATTTCAGGTTTTTTTTCTCAATATAATTATTATTCTTAGCGATTTATTTTTAATTCTTCCTTTTCATTAGTTTTTTCAGGGATTTCAAACCATTAATGGAAAATCAGACAATGGAAGTCCATTCAAACAATTAAAAGGACAATAAGTGATAATCAGTTAAACTCTTGAGATGGCTGACTTTGGTCCTAGAAAGATTTTTTATTTCACTGTTTTGTCGTTATATCTATACATTGTATAAAACGAACATAGCACTTTCAACCATGAAGTTGAGATTCAGAATCTGAGATTACTTTTATTCGAATTTGGGTATATAAGATTGAGGTTATTATGTGATGAAAACATCTAACTACCAATTGAGTAAGATTTTTGTAGATGAAGATTTGATTATTACTTTTCACTAGAACATGGTCTTGGCCTTTTCCTAATAGAGACCTTACGGTGACTGTGTGAATTCCTGGATTGGCTGTTAGGTATAGGTCCAGAAGACTAGCATGTTATCCATCACTGCCAGGAAACCTGGTTGGCTCATTTATAATCTGAGATAGTCCGCTGCTTATAGCAAAAGCTTCAGCTTCGCGACCTTGGTCGTCGTTGATATTTGAAAATTTTGGCCATTCGATATTGTGGACATTAAAGTCACCGAATATAGAAATTTCGGCACTGGGATGATTGATTCGCAGAAATAGTGTTTGCAAGTAAAGAGAATAGTGTCAAAATCTAGGTAACAACTATCTGTTCCACCCAGCATCGGTTGAAACTTTTGATGTTTGTGGCCCTGAGTCTCTGTTATTCGTTCATGAACTCGGAAGGAGAATAGGCCAAGCAACGAAAGATCACCGATCTACCTGTTTTTTGATGGAAAGAATTAGTATTGCTATTCAACGTGGCAATGCTGCTTCGGTCCTTGGAACTATTCCTCCCTCACATAATTTTGATGGGATCATGCCTTGCCCTAATTTCAGTACGGAACTGAAATCTCTTCGAAACAAGGAAGGATCGATCGCAGCTTGAGAAATGGTTCTTATGGAGATTCTGTGAAACATGTTCTTCCTTACGAATCAGTAGAGTGTTGTCCTAAAAATCTAGAGAAGAAAATTGTATTGGATAATTTAGGAAATACTTGCTACATGAATAGTGTGATGTTTAAATGAAACTACGTTTCTTACTTTCACAACACAAACTATATTTTCTTGGAAAGGTAACAAAACAAGTGCACATAGACTGCCAAAAAAGGAACACGTCCGAAAAACAGATGTTCCCCGGTGCGCGCGCCGTTTGTACTGATGGTATTGCCTATACAGGGTTGTTCAACTATACTACATTACACATGTTCAACTATACTACATTACAAATAGCATTTTACAAGCGTTGTTCATGACAAAAAATTTCAAGAACGAGGTTTTAATGATGAACGAGAACGGGAATGTTTCCTACTTATTCATCAAACTCTAACACCTGTTCATGCAGCTGCAGTTTCGTAAGAATGTATCATATTTTTCTCCAACCGATTTCCTGGAGTCTTTGAAGACTAGACACTCATTAGGACAACAAGAGGATTGTTCCAAATTCTTGGGGTTCTTGTTGAATACTCTTCGTGATCAAAACAATAGCAGAATCAATACTCCTGACCACTCTGGATTGAATGATTCCGTACAGTCCATCTCTTTTTGTGTTTGTGAATCTTTTGCTGGAAAAATCCTCAGTTGTAGTAAATGTTCAAAAGGTAGCGAAAACTCATGTGAATTTCTGGAACTTCATCTAGCGGTTCCTAATATATGACTAATAACCAGTCCGTGCAAAGATTATTGTGAAGCCATCTGAAATTGGAGTTTTTAACAGGTGATGATCGTCTGTATTGCCAAACTAACTGAATGTTATGAGAAAACAAGTATAACTGAGGCACCAGTCAATCTAATAATAACACTGATGATCTTCAAACAAGACTCAACCTCTGACGGAAGCAGACTACTATTATAATATTCATGGAGTAATTGTTCGCTGTGGTTCTGGCGTTGAATTTGGTCATTATTACGCCTTGGTCAAAGACGAAACGGACTGGTTTAAGTTTGACGATAGTCGTGTCACGAAGTGTTCTGGTGATGTATTGAATCTATTGGAACCTCTGGAGACACCCTACATTTTGTTTAATGGGAAAGAGGACATTGACAGATCAAGATTTTCAGATGATGTGGTGCAGCAGGTTTTTCCGGGTTTTCCTGCAGCTGAAAAAGCAAATGCGCCACTGGAATCAATGAAGTCGCCCCAGAGCTCCAGTTAGTTTTCATTGTTGTTTTAATTTTTAGCCTTATATTGTGTCCATTGAGAGGACACCTGAATGAAATAATAGGTCTATACAACGACAATGCAACAAAGGGATAAAGACACCTCGTTATTTCTCATGCGAAGCAGCTGGATCCCATCCAGAAAAGAGCCATCCGCTTGATTGGAGACGCGAACATCACTTGCAACCTTGATAGTCTGGAATATCTAAGATAGGTTGGAAATGTGTCTCTCTTCTGTAGAAGTGTGATTTGGCACATTTGATTCCAACAAGAGCGGTACATATCAGAAATAGGCGACGGACTGTAGCTACTCATCCTTTTGAGGTCCAACTCAGTACACCTCGAACTTCACTATTTGATAACTCTTTCATTTGGAGTACTGCTTTTATGAGAACGTTCCTGTGAATGTTTTTCCAAATAGATTTGATCTCCTGAGATTCAAATCCAATGTGAATCAGGCACCGCTCTAAGAACGCCTCAAGGATTTTTCTGTAGTGCTTGTGTTTTATCCTTAGAAGAAAAGAGAACGTGCGGCACTGAAACGGAAGGCAAAACATTTATGGACAATCCAAAATATGTCCAAAAGAATATGACATACACTCACCAGAGGAACTGCACCAACTTGTCCAGGGAACGGGTGTTATGAGAAAGATGGATGAAAAACACAATACGCCCATGAATCTGCAGCGTTTACTGGAAAATTGGAAGAAATAGACAAGTCAAAAGTAGAACAAAAAGTATTTAAACTGAAATTATTATCCATTCAACGATGTAGTAATCGGTGATAGCAATCTGCTTGTCGTCCGGGATGGGAAAGCTGCTGCTAAGAGGAACGTGAATACCAACTGAAACTATGGAAACATATTTCACATCGGAACAAAAACGAAATAATCGATTTTAATCGGAGAACGCGACAAAGTCGTGATTCTGTGTATCACATCCCGATATGCGGGGTCGATAAATTTTGATTTGATTCATATCGTGGTTATGGAGCTCTCCTTTTAAAGTGTACGATCGCAATATTCAGTGCAGTGAATGGTTTTGCATTTTTATGTTCGGTTATTTATAAGTGCGGATGCAGGAGGATTGCGGTGAATGATGGTCTTTTTGTCTCCAACAAGACAATTCCAACTATTTAACAGTGCTTGCATTTCTGCTGTCTTCTCACGGATCTTCTTCGAGTATTTTAAATGTTTCTGTGTTGATACAAATGAAATATCTGGGAGAAAAACCTTTGACTTTCTACTTTTCCATCATCATACAAAAAATTAGGGAAACATTCAAAGAAAATAATAGAAAAAATAATTTTAAAATTAACTCTTCGCAAAGATGTGTAGATCATACAAAAATGTAATTTCTAAACACAAACTGCAAGAAAAAACACTCTAGGAACAATTACTTTTATATGAACACCGAATTATACACAAACAATTTTTTCTATGTAGTTTATACTCCAAATATTCGTTATTAAATTGAATCAGATATTACTCACAAGACTACTACACAATATAGTATATGAAAAAGAAACATCCTCAATCGAGGACTTTCTTTATATAGAAATAAGAAGTAGAATGCCAAAACTTTTCTTTCCCAAAAAATAATCTCTCCTAAGAATATACCCCTTTCAATTTAAACAAGATTCATATGAATGGTATGCATAAATATGCTACACATCTTTCTGAATGGTTCATTTTGTTATTAAATGCTTCCTTTCTTTCGTCAGAAATTTCCCACATTTTTTGTATAAAAATGGAGAAGTAGAAAGCCGGAATCTTCCTTTCCCAAAAATTAATACCTATCTCCTAAAAATTCCCAGATTCATATGGCTGGTATTGAATTGAATACGCTATTGAATGTCATAATGTACTGTCATCAAACATTTTTTTTTAAGATTCCCACATTTTTCTATATCAAGATGGAGTAGTAGAAAGCCAAAAACTTGTTTTCCCAAAAATTATTGGTGCTGAACAGGCAATAAGGAAAGTGTCTCATGTAAGAGGAATTTCACTTCTTCCAATAATTATATTGTGTAGGAATCCTTCGAATGATATCTGATTCGATTCCATTACGAATGTTTGAAATGCAAACGAAAGAGAAAAAAGTGTTTTTGCATAAATCAATATTCATATAAAAGTAGTTGTTTCAAAGTATTTTTTTTTTCGTGTAATTCAATGTTTATATGAAAATAGTTATTTCGAGACTATTTTTTCTTCCAGTTTGTTTCTGAAAGTTACTTCTTTACTGATCCAACACCTTTATTAAGAGTTCATTTTGGAATCAATTGCTTTCTTTCTTCCTTCAGAAGTTTTTCACGTTTTTTGTATAAAGATGGAAAAGTGAAAAGTCAAAATATTTTTTACTTAAACATTATTCTCTCATAAAAATGTAACCCTCAAAATCCAAATGAAATATCATTTCATAATCGATTAATACATTTTTTTTTGGTTTAGAAAAACAAATTGCCCCTAAAACTATATCTAATCTAGATAATCAGTTAATGAAGTTATACCTATATTCGAAATATGAATAACCATTTACGGAGATATGGGAGTTTCCAGAGGACTACATGTAAATGTGATGAATTTACCAGAAATTATTGGTTAGTTGATCTTTTCAAAAATAATTGTAATCCAATATTCTGAAAGATCAAACTGAATTTTCCTCAGTAAAAGCAGTATTATATACTAGGACACGTGTTGCGGTTTTGAACTGACCAGAGAAAATCTCACCACGAAGTGTTACTTTTGTAGTGTTTTTGTTCTCTGTCCTGTTAAAGCTCAAATCAGCCACCACCCAGGTATTCTATTGGAGGAATATTTTACCTCCAGTAAATGTTGAACCTGTGAGCTCCATTACGCATTTTGTCTTTGTTCCCATTCTTGGTACCGAAAACAGCCTAGTTATATCAAGCTACCTAACTTGTATGTCACCCATATTTGGAATAACACAATCGAGAACCATTGGGAATCAAGAGCTGTGTCTAAGGCCTTTGACCATGTCCGGCATAAGAGTTTGTTGGCCAAACTTTCATGCTATGGCTTGTCTTACCATTTTTATGTATGGCTCTTCAGCTTCCTGATGAAACGTTCCCTGCAAGTGGCCGTTGATGAATATCTCTCGAATACATTCACCATCAACGCTGGTGTTCCCCAGGGATCCATATTGTTTCCAACCCTCTTTTTATTGTATATCAACGACTTATTGGAAAAAAACCAAGAATCCAATATATTTCTTTATTGACGACAGCACACTTGTCTCATCATTCCATTTGGATTGCAGGACATCGGCTACGGAGGCATATCTTCACCGGCAGCAGGAGGTTATACCGCGTGACTCACGGTCGATGGTAGGTTAGACGTTTCTGGAAAACGCAAAGCATGATTTTTCTGAAAATTTCACCTCTTACATTTCCTTACCTGTTCTATCGATCTAAAATATTTTCAGCATTGCGGCGTTGCCACTTCCATCAAAAAGTCCTAGCAACTTAATTTTTTTGAATGAAACACCCCGTACATTAATACATTTTTGGAATCGCTCTGGTATTTTAATACCTTTTTGTTAATAATGTCCTATACCTATCTCTATCTGTTTTCGAGATAAAAAATAAATTGTGCTAAATATGGTCCAAAACATAGCCTTAATTGAAATTAAGTACACCAGTACTCTCAATTCATGAAAAGTTGATATTTTTATGATAGTTTGGACAAACTCGAAATATTCAAATAACACCAAGAAATCGACTCCATATCATACAGGGCGTGCTAAAATTACTATTATTTCCATTGTGCATAAAAGTAGTGAAAAGTTCATTTTTTCAAATGAAACCCCCTGTATATTCCTCGGTGAAAGATGGTGAAAAATGCTTCAAGATGATATGTCATGTCCCCATACCTAAATCGTCAAGTTTTCTCAATAAAGTCGCTTCTTCTAGAAACATTATTTTTTTTTTTTAGAATTTGGATTTAGGTAGCAGTGGAATTATCAAGCTTATAGCAGTTCGGTTACTTTTATAAGTAATTTACAAAGAGTTATCGACGGTGTTTCGAATCATCTTCCAAAATGAATGGAAATGTCGATTATTCAAACGAAGTTCTTATGAAATTATTTATTATACACATGAACAAAGTGATCAAATCATTGTCAGAATGTGTAAAAAATTCAACCAAATGTATCCTGAATTAACACCAATGAACGAGAGGAAGTTTGTAAGGTTACAAAATAATTTCCTTAACTATGGCTCGAAGTTTCCAGGGAACAACTGTACCAAAAATCATTCATTTCTATAGGTAAAAAGTAAGATTTTGTGGGCCAAAACATGTGAAAATACAGTCAATAACATAATAGGATGATTCAAAATAACAAAATTATAAACAAAATATCACATTTTCACAATAAATGCTGAAAATGTTGTCCATTAAATTATAAACACTGTAAAATGTTTTTTTGTACGCGACTTGTGGTTGCTTTCTCAATTTCCTGGGGATCCAGATCTCAATACTTCACACTATTCGCCGTCGCAATTCTTCTTTGGTAGGCACTGGAGTATCCCACGGCCCTAAACGCCTAAACCAACGATCGTCGAAGAGTTCGTCAAGTTTCCTGGAAACTTTCTGGGTGGAATGAGCTGGCGCTCCGCCCGGTTGAAACCACGAATTCCTATATTCCTCTAAAGGCAAATTTTCAAGAAAATCGGTTACAGTCGTCCTTAATATTTGGAAATATATTTCTGCATTCAGTGTATCTTCATAAATAAAAAAGCTAATTTTATTGTTCTTCAGAATATAGAAAACATTCAGGTCAAATTTTTCCTGAAAACCCATTTCTTTTGTAACATCAGGATTATTTTTTTTAATTAGCTTTATTTATTGTCTCATCAACTATTGCAGTTATTGAAGACATTCATATTGTTAGTGAATACATTGATACTGTGTTACGGTACCTACTAAATTTTGTTTAAGAGATTAGTTTGTTTTAAAAAGTTCATCACATTTTCGACTGCACTGTATTCTCCTAAGATTTGCGCGATGATCAGCCCAAAAATGTTTATTCCTTCTATTGAAAATACCATCCCTCGTAAATTTTGATTCGTCGCTCCAAATTATTTTTGACAAAAATTCCCGATCTCCCTGTGTATGAATCAAAAGTGATTCACAAAAATGCATTCTACGTTCGAAGTCTTCTGCTTTTAGAGCTTGAACTTTGGTACATTTATACGGATGCATTCCGTGATTTTTCAAAATTCGTTGTACTGAAGCATGTGATACACCTAAATCTTTTTCTGCACTGCGAATGGATATGCATTAAAATATGCCAAAACGTTAACAGTATTGTTCTCATTTGAAGTAACAGGTTTTGGTAATGTTGAACGGATACATTTGGTTGAATTTTCTACAAGTTCTGGCAATGATTTGATCACACTGTCCGTGTATAATAAATAATTTGCATTCATTTTTGGCGATTTTTTTAAACACCGTCAATAACCATTTATCAATTACTTATAAAAGTCACCAAACTGTCATAAGCTTGATATTTCCACGGCTACCTAGAAATCAAATTCTTTAAAAATAATTTTTTGTACAACTGTTATTGAAAATCTCTATGATAGAAACACTTCAATCAGAACACCTACCAAAAATCATTTAGAAAAGTTCACACATGCAGTTCGTGCTATTGGTAATATTAAATCCCTGTGAAGTTACTGACGATGACGAAGTAGTATTCAGTCCAACTGTAGAAAGTCCTTCATGACTAACCAATAATCCTCCTTAAAATAACGTGAGTTGGCGTACGTAGTTGTAACATATGCCTTGTAAACCAAAGATCGTGTGTTCAAATCCCATGGACTCTATAATTGTTTTTATTATCAGCAGTAACGTTATACAAAAAATTTGTATGATACATTTGTTGAAAGTGATTTTGTTTCGCTCGTGAGTTTGCTCCACTTGCTGACGCTCGTTTTGCAATAATTCCCACTCACAAAATAAAATGTCACTTTCAACACTTGTAGGTAAAACGTGAATAACTATTTTTCCAAAAAAACGGCTTTGTTAAAAAAACTTGACGATTCAGGTATATCATCTTGAAGCATTTTTCACCATATTTCAATTTATCGAGTAATATGCAGGGGGTTTCATTTGAAAAAATGATCTTTCGACTACTTTTATGCACAATAGAAAAAATAGTAATTTTAGCACGCCCTGTATGATATGGAGTCGATTTCTTGGTGTTATTTGAATATTTCGAGTTTGTCCAAACTATCATCAAAATATCAACTTTTCATGAATTGAGAGTACTGATGTACTTAATTTCAATTAAGGCTATGTTTTGGACCATATATAGCACAATTTATTTTTTATCTCGAAAACAGATGGAGATATGTATAGGACATCATCAACAAAAAAGTATTGAAATACCAGAGCGATTTCAAAAATGTATTAATATACGGGGTGTTCCATTTAAAAAAATATAATTGCCAGGACTTTTTGATAGAAGTGGCAACGTCGCAATGCTGAAAATATTTTAGATCGATAGAACAGGTAAGGAAATGTGAGAGGTGAAATTTTCAGAAAAATCATGCTTTGCGTTTTCCAGAAACGTCTAACCTACCATCGACCGTGAGTCACGCTGTATACCTTAATGAGGATCTGGAAGTGATTTCGAACTGGAGTGAAAGTGAACAGGTTCAATTCAATCTCACAAAAAAGCAGGCATCGGTTTTCTCCAAGAATATAAATGTCTCCGAAGCGGATATAATAATGGCAGGTCAAACAATTCCGCTTTCTACTTCGATAAGTTTGTTGGAGGTTGAAATGGACACCAATATGTTTTGGCACAATCATGTCGCTTTAATTGCAAAGGCTGCTTCTCGACAGCTCGGAACACTGTTCCGAACCAGAAAACTATACACACCTCAGCAACTTTTGATGCTTTATAAAGCTCAGATCAGACCTTCTTTGGAGTATTGTTGTCATGTACGGAGCTCTGCCTCCAAACATACCCTGAAGTTGCTGGGTTCCATCCAGAAAATAGCCATTTGCCTGATTGGAGACGCGAACATCACGTGCAACCTTGATAGCCTGGAATATCGAAGAAAGGTTCGAGATTTGTCTCTCTTCCATAGATACTTTCACGGGAAGTGTTCAAGTGACTTGGCACTTTTGATTCCACCAAGACCGGTACATATCAGAAATACGCGACGGACTCTGTGGCTGGTCATCGTTCCGAGGGTCAACTCAGTACACCTCGAACATCACTGTTTGAGAACTATTTCATTTGGAGAACCGCGTTTATGAAGAATAAACTCCCTGAGAATGTTTTTCCAAATGGATTTAATCTCCAGCGATTCAAATCCAATGTGAATATCTACTTTCGCACAAGCACCGCTCTGAGAGCGCTTTTTAAGTATTTTTCTGCAGTGCTCGTGTTTTCTGCTTGAAAAATCCTTACTTGTTGCAAAAGTATCTTCAGTTCAACCATCGTTCACCATTTGTATGATAAGTGATCAACAACTATTCTGACTCACTTCGTATAACCATCACAGTTATATCAAATTAAATCGAAACTCAAATCAAGTCGTTGGTTTTTTTGATTGTGAAATCCTAGATCGAAGAGAAACGAAACCAAATAAATAAGTCTGAAAATGTATCATCTGATTAGCTTTATTATATTATATCCATAAATAACAAATCAGTAAAAAATATTCAATTCTGATGAAAACAGGACTCGATAGATCACATTTTGATTTAATGTTCCTCATAATAATAACATATTAATAAACTTAATGAGAACTCTCAATATCGGTCGTAAGGCTGATAACTTATCGCCAGAAGTTATTGCTTTTAGTCTGTCAGCTGCACTGTTCCAAACAAGATATCCTTCAAAAACTTGTGCTTGGTGAGTTAGTTGTTTGTTAATTATTTATCATTCATTTTCTGGAGAAATCCGGTGTGATTTATTCAAACTGCTCTGTAGTTTATTTCTACTGAGTCTTTGATGCATGAAAAAGTTTCATATTTTTTCACACAATCTGAAGATTTTGGAATGGAAAATGTGTCACTTTACGATTCTGCCATATGGTGAATGAGTTTCACAAAGAACTTCGGCTAGATTCAGAAAGTTACAATCACGTCAAATCTCATTCCAAATAAGCGTGATTTCAGAGTATGTATTTTGAAATTAAGGTACATGATACACACAAGATAACATTAATGGTAAGCTATAAAATAATTGGTGAAAGTATTCGATAAAAACACTCATATAGGTGGATTTTTATGTTTATATTGCTACTGGAAATGTATTTTTCAACCATCATTATTCACGTTTAAGAGGTGACAAACCCAATTTTGAAAATTCATATGGCAAAGTACCTACTCCCTCTGATATCTCAAATAATGGATAACAATGTACAATAAACACTGACAAGCTACATTCCCGTTGATAAATAAAGTAGGCACTATTCAAAATTTATTCAAATATCAATATCAATATTCGTGGAAAAATTGGCCCAGCTGCCATGCCAATGTTGTAGAAACTATTGCAACTTATCTAATATTCATTTCACATGATCAAGTGGATTCAGTCTTTGATTCATAACTCAATAAAATCATCTCAAATCGTCTAACATCGGATTAACGTGTACGAAAAAAACCTCATTGGTCTGGAAGTTCGTTTCATATCCTATCGGTTCGTCAGAGTTTTATCTGAGCATGATTTTCACCTGTGAAATATGCAATGGATACAAGAACTATTCGGAAATAATTCTTATCAAAAAGTATATGTATATTCTTGTTTAATTCGAATGGTTTCTAGATTATCTACCTGCTACGTTAGAAACTATGCACAAAACGAAGAATTACTGCTCTCATTCCCTACTGATATACAGGGCTATTCAAATTCGTTTCTGTACATGGGGATTTCTTGAACGATAAGAGATAGAGAATCGGTTAAATTGTGGCAAAGTTGCGTATTTTAGAGACCTATTCAATGATGTGAAAAAATCGAATATGGTTCTTTTGGTCCCAAATTATATTTTTTCCTATATCTTCTTTATTCGCAGACATATTGAAAATCTATCCACATTTAGCTGTAGACATTTGATGTGGGCTATCAGAATATGTCCATGAATATTTTATATAGGGTGTCATCTGACTTGAGCCACCCCCATCTTTGAATTTTTGAATACGGACCTGTATTTTTTGTTGTAGTTTTTGAATCGAAGTCGTTCACGTCATACTGAGAAATTCAATTTTATTTTATATTTCGGGATGTTTCGGTAATATTCCATTATAATTGGGCGAATTATTCCCTTTTAAATTACGGCCCTGGAAATTGGTTGACTGAGTTGAATAAAAACACAATAGCAACTTTCACGTCTCCCTATGTACCGTAGAGTTTTAGGTACCTATTGATATTTTTTCATATTTCGAATTTCGAATAAGAAAATCCTTTATGATTATCTGAAACATATCTACCACAAAAATATATTATATATGTTTTGATGAGCAGAAAAGGAAATGATAGCAATAATAACATCCAAAACGAACACTATAATTGTAATGAAAATTGAAGTGAAGTAATTTATATACCCAAAAAAAGTAATGGCACATTAAATGTTCGAACTGGAGTCCTTTCATATCAAGACAAATAATGGGACAATTAGATGGCCTGCAAGATCACCAGATCTCACTATTTTGGACTATTTTCTTTGGGGGACATTGAAAAATAGGATTTACGCTGGCAGAGAGATAGAAAATGTGGAAGACTCGAGATTGAGGATTTTGAATGATTTCATCAAAAACTTCATTATTAGGTTCAACAACTACTCAATCAAGTCGCCCCGGAGCGCCAATTAATTTTTCTTGTTTCACGATTTTTCATAATTTGTATTACTATTTTGTATGTTTCTATAATCAAAAATTCATCTTTCCTTAGAGGTTAGTATTATTATTTTGCAACTGATCTCAATATATGTTCTTCACATGTTGACTAAAAAAATATTTTATGCAAAATTCTACGCGTGGGTAGAAAAATGTAACAAATCTACTGTAGAATAAATTATAATGAATTAAGTCACAATTAATTTGAATATTTGACAAAATTAAATATTTCGCCGAGTTGAAATATCATTTGAAACATTTTTAATATTTATGTGATGATGGTACTCCTTATGGTATTCAACATAAAAAATTAATAGAATTCCAGCTTTTCTTACAGAACGTTATGAATATTCAAATCGAAGGTATTAAGGAGCAAAGTGACGACATTATATATACGCTTGAGAAATTCATTGGAGACAATATCTATGAAAGTCATTTGACAAAAGCAAGCTCATTTTCACCAAAGTCATTCGGTGATCACTCAAATATGTAATTCGAAGAAATTTTTGTTTGAAGGTGATGAATTTCATTAGTTCGGACTTCCATTGTCTAATATTATATAAAATGATTTAAAATCCCTGAAAGAATCAATAAAAAAGAAAAATTGAAAAAAGAATAGCTAAAACTTACAATTATATTAAGCAAAAGAAACCCTGAAATGAAATTACAGTGAAATAAAATACAAGTAAAACAATTAAACAAAAAATTAACAGATGGCTTGGAAGCCAAGTTACTTCACGACGTTTCGATTGTTAGTATCCACAATCGTCTTCGGGTAATGACTGGACTAATTCCTCCGAGAGATGACTATTTATGGGTCATTCGAGTACTTTCACTTATCTCCGCTTTCCTCATTCCGCTTTACCGCTTTAGCTGGAGATGAGTTTGGCGGGAGTTGGCCATTTTTTCCTCAATTATGGGTTTCCATATGTTGCTTATCTCTACGCTAGCTTGGCTGAATACATTGGTCAACATGTATGCGGCTTCTTTGAATTTCCTTCTGAACCAATGTTCCTCCCTGTGTATGATCTCAGCTTGGGACCAGTCGATGTTATGTTGATGGATCCAAACACGATCTGCTATTCCTGATTTGCTGGTTTTTCCTAGCTGTGTGTGTTTCTTGTGCTCGGCAATGGCCTCTTAGTTTCACCGATTTAGGATTTTCCGTACTCACATGGTATCGGGTAAATGCAATTCCTGGAATTGCAGTCCGCCCACTAATAATAATATAAAACCAGAGTTAAAAACGAGCATTGTAGTTAATGCGATCGAAACGATGGGCACTGCGACCGTTACCACATTGCCTTTGATAATGTCTACCGTAGTAATCGACGAAACTTCAGGCATCAAACGATGATCCTAATCCTAACGACAGATGAGATTAGTTATTTTCACGACGTTTGCATCAGTTTCAGAAGTTGAAGGTCATCCTGGACGTGGATCATTTTCGATGTCTTCTCGAGCTAGAATAAGTCTATATCATAGATTAACCAAGTTTCACTAAATATTTCGCTTCGACAGAGGTTCTTAATCAAATCACAGAAAAACGGCAGATTCCTGGCCTGACACAAACAAAGGCTATAGCCCAACTGAGCAAGCTAGATCCCTTCAACCGCCTGGAACATGTCATATTACATCCCGGCAATATGATATTTGACCTTGAGACTAGCACCGTTGGTCTCACAGAGAACCAGTACCGTTATTTTCTAGTCAAACCTCGTAGTTTGCTGACACGTATACAATTTTGAGAAAAACTAAGGTTTTCCATGAAAAAACTTGGACATTGTGGGCGCAATTGATAATACGTCTCTATAATCAATCATCCAGGCGTCAAGGAGAGAAGGAATGGACGACACAAGCTATAGGTGGATTTACTGTATGATATACATGACCATTATAGGAAAAACAGTAGTGGCAGGGGGGCTGTCATCACGGTGAGGTTTCCTCCCCACTGTTTTGAAACTTCATAATGGATGAGTTACTCAGTATTCTGGCCATACCGCTCTGTACAGTCATCAGAGAATGATATAGTGGAGGGACGCATGCAGCAGAAATATTAAAACAAGATGGACGGAGGAAGAAGGGCTGACTATAAGCTCAATGAAATAGAAAATAGTAGCATTCACCAAGAGGTCCAAAACAGATGGCCTAGTATCATCAATACTTCGACATGAAGACATACTTTCGTCGGGGGAAGTCAAATAACTGGAAGTTATATTAGATCCCACCCTGACCTGACATCAACGTCTAGAAGGGGTGAAAAGAAACCCGAAGGTAGCACTGATACTAACCAGATGCATCTATGGAAAGACATAGGGGGTGAAACAAGACATGACGTATTGACCCTACACCATGGTGGTTAAACCCACGATAACATTATGCATCTGTGGTCTTGTGGTCGAAGATAAAATATTCGACCCATATTAACACACTGAGCAGCGTGCAAATACTTGCATGTCTGGGAATAACGGTATCTATGAAAACCACCCCAACAGCTGCATTGGAAACACTCTTCAGTCTTCCTACTCTAGATCTTGTAATTGAGGAAGCAAGAGTTGCAAAACAGAAATTTCCTTCTCGAACCACATGACACCGAATAACATGTTCGACGCAAACTACGCGGTTGAGGTTGTAGAATGCGAAGAGTGGAGACTGATCAGTCATTCCAACAGACGCGGGAAAAGTTTTATCAAAACAGCTATCCGATAAGAGAATCTATGAACTGCATCAACAAAGCAGGGATCGGCTCCGAACGATTCCAGGGCTACTCATTGGACACTGTCCATCAAGAGGACACTTGTACAACGGAGACCTTAGCTGCAGACAAGGAAACAAAAGGACAAGGACGGCTCGTTATATTTCATGAGCCCTTATTATGCCCAGAAGAATATGACATAGGTCCAGCAAGAAACCAGTAGAGATTAGTACAGGAAATAAGATTGTAGGAATGGGTCACGAGAAACATGGGGAAAATGCAAGAAACCTTTGAGACTTTGGGGTATTTTCCGGAGACTTTGA